TACCCTTCCTATAGGAACTGGGCATATCGAGGGGCGCCCTAACTACCTCTAGAGCTACTATTAGTACCGCTAATAGTAGGCTTCTCTACCTTAGCTTTATTAACCTATTATACTTTTTAGGCGAGCTTTATATTTAGCGTAAATTCGGCTCCGATCTTAGCGTACTTCTTAAAGTCGATAATATCGTCGATATATTTACGCGTTAATTTATCTTATATAGTAGGAGTAAGGCGCCGCTTAAATTCCTTTTTCTACTTGGATCGGGGGCGGCGGTACTAGCCTATTAGACGAATAAACTTATTCCGGAATTCGTAATAATTATCTCTAGGTAATATATAAAGATTATTAAACTCCTTTAGAGCCTCCTCTTTATAATTTATATTACGGTACTTATTCTTAAGCTAGGCTAGTAAATCTTCTACGGTCTTAATTTAATTAGGATAAGCGTCCTCTAAATACGGTTCTAATTATAGAGAGGTATTACTTATTAAGGGGAGTTTAATATAGGTCTAACGTACGCGGTCTATCTTATAATAATCGGCGTTAACCTATAGCTTATTCTCTATTTGACGAATCTAGGTATTAAAAGTAATTATATCCTTAGTACTATCGTTATAGAAAAGAGGGGGGTCTACTATCTTGGCGCTTTAACGGGGCTATAAATTATTAGAGGCCGGGGTTAAGTACCACGAGCTATATTAAAAGAGTATATTAGTAACGATAATACGGTTTAGGCTATCGATATATTCCTATATTCTTTATATAATATAATCCCGATCCTTAAGGGCTACTTACGTATTCTCTAGTAGGTCGTCTTCTATAAAGGCGAGGTCGTTTAGGGCTAGTCTATCTATTAGGAGGCGGTTAACCTACGAACGGATATTTCGGATTACGGTTAACTAGTTATAAGTAATATCGTATAGCTATACTACTTACTTATAGAGTATATATATTATAATTATTCGTAACTTTATTTCGCGCTAGAGCTCGTCGGGGTTATATAACGCCTTACGCTCGAAATCCTTTATATTTATTAGACCCTTAAAGGTTAGGTCCTTATTCTCTAGGAGGAGCGTTCGGAATAGTATAGCGGGTCCCTTCTTTCCGCGCTTAACGAACGTAGCGGCTATATCGGTAATCTTCTATTAGAAATCACCCTTAAAGTCCTCGAGAGTTAGATTAAACTATACTTTAGCGATCTCTAGGAGGATAGCCTAGTTATAGACTTCTCGATTAATTTCAGCCTTACTTATTCCCGGAACGGGGTTACGACCCGTTATCGTAGAAGCTCCTACCGCTATGGTTCTTATAGTACGAGCTAAAGTCTCGTATTCGTAGATTAACTAGGAGAGAATAGTATTAGAGATCTTATACGGCTAGGCTTTAATAAAGTCATCCTATCGGTAAGCGACCTCCTTGAGGGCCCGCTGGAGGTTCTCCTCTATAGAATAATCTAAACCGATGGTAGAAATTCCTTCGGTTATATGGGGGACTTCCCCGTAGTTTTATACCGCTTAGTACGATTCCTTCCGTACGGTCGTTGGGTTCTGGTTTCGTATAACTAGTACGTACCCTTCTTTATAACGGTAGTGGATTTTAATAAAATAAATAAATCTTTAGTAGGATATTCTTCAAGGCCTTCCTAGGTAATAGGTTATAAGCTTTAGATTATTACCGTATAGTCGATTTAATAAGATAGGGCTATACTAATTATTACTATATTCGTAGAATCTAAAGCTAAGGAAAGAAAAGGAAAAGAAAGTTCTAAAGGCTACGTAGTACGCGGAGAAGTGGGCTAAGTTTTATAGGTTACGTAGTAGGACTTAGTACGGGCTATTAATAGCGGGGTTATTTAGTTAGCTTAAGTCGCGTAGCGTGCGATCGATTAGGGCCACCTAAATGTTCTTCGCACCTACCGTAACACCTATAAAGACTTAGAGTATAGTCTATTCTATAAGATATCCCTAGAGGAATTAGAGATCGCTAAATAGTATATTATAAAGAACCTAATAAAGGGATTTATTACTAGTAATTTAATAGCCTAGGTAGTACCTATACTACTCGCTCTAAAGCTAGGAGGCGGAATACGCTTCTATATAAATTACTAGAGACTTAACGCTATAACGAGAAAGGATTAATATCCCTTACCGCTTATTACCGAGACTATAGCTCGTATTAGGAAAGCTAAAATCTTTACCAAAATCGATATTAGGCAAGCCTTCTATAAGATCCAAATACGCCTAAAGAACGAGGACCTTATAACCTTCTAAACGAGATACGGGGCCTATAAATATCGGGTCCTACCCTTTAGCCTAACTAACGGCCTAATAACCTTCTAGCGATATATTAACGAGATCTTATTAAGATACCTAGACGACTTCTATAACGCCTATATCGATAATATCCTTATCTTCTCCGAGAACCCCGAGGAGTACGAGGCTTATATAGCTAAAGTCTTATATTACCTAAGATAAGTAGGACTCTAAGCCGACTTAAAGAAGTACGAATTCTACGTTACTAAAACTAAGTACCTAGGATTTATTATCTCTACGACTAGGATAGCGGTAGACCCTAAGAAGGTAGTTACCGTTAGGGATTAGAGCGTTCCCTATAATCTTAAAGGAGTATAGTTATTCCTAGGATATTATAACTTCTACTAGCGTTTCGTATAGAATTATAGCCGTATCGCTAAACCCCTAACTAGCTTAACGAAGAAAGGTTAGGTATTTAAATAGTCCGAAGACTATTAAGTAGCCTTCGAAGAATTAAAGGATAAACTTATATCCGCCCTAATACTTTAATACTTCTCTTACGAGTTACCGACCCGGATAGAAACCGATATATTAGGAGGTATCTACGTAGGAGTACTATCTTAACTATAGACTAACGACGAGGAATAGTACCCTACTATATTCTATTTAGAAACTATATACGGAGCCGAGTTAAACTACCTAATCTACGATAAAGAGTTAATAGTAGTCGTTAGGGGGTTAATGGTTTAGAGAGCTAAGCTAATAAGACTCCGAGATTAACCCTTTACTATTATTACGGATCATAGGGCTCTAAAATACTTCGGTACGAAGAGACTCTTAAACTCTAGGTAAGCCGGATAAGCCGATCTTATATCTTAATATTATTTCTAAATTACCTACCGACGAGGAATTAAGAATATAGCCGTAAATACGGTATCTTAGAAGTCGGAGGATATTAAGACCTAGAAGGAGAAATAAGAGCTATAAAGGACTATATAGATATTCAAGCTTATAGGGGCGGTAATTATAATATCGATTACGCGGGCCCCCGTAGCCGTATTTATTATTAATAAAGACGTCGAGCCCCCTTCCTTATTAGGCTACGAGATAATCGATACTTTACTATAATATAATAAGAACGACCCCGAACTCGATATTTACCGTATAAAGGCGAGATAGGGTACCGATAGTTTCTCTATACTAGAAGACCGTATCTTATTATATAAAGGAAGACTAGTCGTACCCTTTAGAGGGGAGCTGAATCTAAGAACTAAGGTTATTTATAAAGTATATTTAAGGATACCCTCCGTATATCCTAAGAGAAATAAGACCCGCTAAATAGTCTCGAAACTCTATTAGTAGCCCCGGCTAATAGGATTAGTCGACCGATTCGTCGAGAACTACCTATACTAATCTAGTAAGAAGCCCCGTAGTAAGACCCCGGGCCTCCTTAAGCCCCTCCTAGTAACCCTTCGTAAATGGAGGTCCCTAGTAGTAGACTTCTATAAGATACCCGAGGATAAGTATACTAAGAATAACGGCCTAGTAATAATTAATAAGCTAAATAAGGCCGCTTGGATAATCCCTTATAAAGACTCTACTACGGCTAAGGATACTACCCTAATATACTACGAAGGTCCCTTTAGATCTTTAGACTCCCCGACGAAATAATTAACGATAGAGGACCCTAATTTATCGTAGACTTTATAGACGAAGTTTCTAAGATCTTAGGAATTAAGTAGAAGTTATCTTCCTTAGGATATTCCTAAACCGTAGGCTAAGTCGAGATTATAAACCAATACCTAGAATAACGACTTCGACCGTTCGTGAACTACTACTAAGATAACTAGTCAAGAGCGATCCCCGCTATGGACTTCGCCTAAAATAGCCTACCGTACGCTAGTACGGGAATGGAACCTTACGAGGTATTATTCGGATTCGAAATACCTACCTAGTACGATTAGACTAAACGTACTAAGCTAGCGGGCTTACCGACTAGGGAGAAGCTAAATAGGGAAGACGCTTAGGATACTCTAAGAACGATATAGAAGTATATCGACTACGCTAGGGAGATGATTCAAAAGGTATAATAAGTATAGGTTAACCAGGCTAATAAATATCGCCGAGAACCGGACTTCGGCGTTAGCGATAGAGTATTTATTATTAAGAAGAATTAGTCTACGGATAGACCTAGTAATAAGCTAGATTTCCCTCTTATACGATAGTACTATCGAATCGTCGAGATGGCTAGATACTCCTATAGATTGGAGGTTCCTACTAGCTAGAAGGTAATAGATATATTCTATACGGATAGGCTCAAGCGTTATACTAATAACCCGCTATAAGGATAAGAAGTAGAGAATCCCTCGGAGATAGTTAATAAGGAGGAAGAATAGGAAGTCGACTGTATATTAACCTCAAGAATAACGTACGGCCGCTTCGAGTACTAAGTATAATAGAGAGGCTAGGACCTAGATCCGACGTAGTACCTAGCTAGGAACTTCAAGAACGCCCCCGCGAAGCTATACGAGTTCCACGAATAATACCCTAACCTAGTAGGGCTACTAAAGCGCCTATAGCAATGGACGGCTATATATATAGCCGATAAGATAGCCGACGACTATGATAAGGATAATAGACCTATTAATACGGGCGAACGCAAGCTATAAAGATTAATAAGGAAGAAGTGATTATAGGGCCGAGCCTGCTTAATTGACTTTTCGTAACGAGATTTCTAATAAACGAGCAGGGTCGCTGGTCTAGTAGTATAACGCGTCGCTTCTCTCGATAATTATTTCTCTATATAAGCCGGGCCCTGAGAAGCAATTGGGTCCTAGCGCGAGGTCGTAGGTTCGAATCCTACGCGATCTAAAAAAAATTTTTATTCTTCATAAATAAAGGACCCTACGCGCGGGAGGGGGGGGTAATATCACGGTACGGCCGAACTAAGGTCCGTGGTGCCGCGACCATGCCCTAGCTATTAGCCCTAGTATGCAAGCCCCGCTATTCCCGATCGGGACTAGCACTACGACCCCGCACACCACCACAAAACCAGAAGCCTACAGAGCCCGCAGACTTCTTCTTTTTCCTTTTTCTTTCTTTAGCTTAGTTATCTACGAATCTAGTTATTCTTTACTTATAGTATTATCTCCTATATATGCCTACCTTCAAAACTATAATATATAAGAGGGTGTATTAATATTATATATATCCTAACTTATTATAATTATAATATATAATAAGCTCTCTAATATAGAAGAGGGCTTATATATTAGACCTAATAGCGGGTTATATTAGGGCGGGAGGCGTATTCTTTATTAGCTAATCCTAAAGTTCCCTTCGTTAAATCCGGGTTTTATTATAGCGGGGCTTAGAATAAGCTTTGTTAATGATATTGAACTACGTTCCTGTATAGGCCTAAACTCAGCACCTATACAGGGTGCGCAGGGCAGCAGGCGCAGCGGAAGCAAGGCGTGTAGCGTATATCGGGAACCAAGTGCAAGGTAGGTCGATCAAGTGCAGGGTAGACTGTAGGGAGCTGTGCCCTACGGTCCGATACAACAGTGCTTCTGCAAGGCACTGAGGGAAGCAGGCTGACTGACTACAGGTCTGTAGAACTCTGCTACAGGCCTGCCACTCAGACTGTGAGGACTCTGCTCAGCAGTCTACCTCGTAGGCTGTAGGGGACTCTGCCCTGCAGTCAGGGTCTTCGGGACCAACTGTGGGTGCTGAAGAAGATAGAGAGGAGTTGTATTATAGAAGAAGTATAGTACAAAGAGTGGTGAGTGCAGTGCTTACTTGTTGCTTTCTTTTGTACTCACAACAAGAGGCTTGCTTGCTTAAGGAAATCTATCTAAGAGAAAGGACAGGTCTATATAGACCTAAGGTGGGCTCTCTAGAAGGTTCTAGAGGCCCACAGGCTTCGTAGACAGCTCTGTATTCTATAGTCTTCTAGTGGGCTTGTCTTACGTGTGCCAAGACGTATAGGGGTTTCGAGAGGGTGCTGTGGGGCAAAGTAAACAATCTAGGTATAGCGCCCTCAGCACCACACAACAGCCACAACACTCACAACTCCAACACAGCTACTGCAGTGCCCTGCACTTCAGGACCTACAACCCTAGTAACTAGCCATACTTTAACAAATGAGGTTATATTTATAGAGCATTAATTAGGTATTAAAGCGTTAAAGGAATGGGAGCTATAGAAAGGTTTGGTTGGGAGCTTCCGTGAGAGAGATGCGTTGGCGGTGAAGGACGGCAGAATGGATGATAATGAAGAGCAGAAAAAGTGGAGCAGAATGATATTTTGATTGCTGTGATTGGTTGAAGACTGATTAAGATGTGTATGATTCTAAATACAAAGGTAGAAAAGGTCCCCTTATTATACCGGCTTGAACGGACCCTGTTGAACGGAACTCAGCTCTGTTCAACAGTCCGGCTAACAGTTATTGGCCTTATTTGAAGGCCCAGTTAGCCTGTTAGCTTACGCTCACGCTGTGCCGGCCCGGTTGGCCGTAACTGACGGCCCGGCCCAAACCGCGGCCAGGTGGCCCGAACGGCGGCCTAGCTATCGAAATCGAGTGCCAGCCGGTAGCTAGTTAATAAGGCTGTAGGTGGCTATATTACGTAGCAGTTAGATTACTTCTAATAACTATATATAAAAGGTATTATATTATTATAAATTTTTATTTAGCATTATATTATATTATATATATACCACTTATTTGATTTAAGGGCTTATATAAGGACCCACTTTTAGGACCCACAAATATTCAAAGTTATATATTTATATAAGAACCTTAAATATATTTATTATATACTTTTATTTCTTATAGTTATTTATATATAATTATTTAAAGAGTTAAAAATATATATATAAAAACTAATAAGCTTCCTCCGTAATATATAATAATTTCTAGGCTTCGTCGAGGCTAATAGGAGAGCCTATCCGCTTTTAGTAAGTTTCTTTATCGTTACCGTTCTATAAATAAGACCGGGTTAATTAGATATATTCGTACTATTTAGTATAATCTTTTACTAAGGTAATATTAGAAATAACCTTAATATATTAGCTATAATAAAAGCGGTCTAGTTTAATCTAATAGTCCTATATTATAAAGGGGCTTTTAGTATTTATATTAGGGAGTCGTTTAATTAAAGTAGCTTACTCTTAATAGGACTCTTAAGGTAATCTCTTATATTATACATAATATTCGTAGTTCTCAAACTACGTAGGGATCCTATAGGTCTAAGGGTGGTAGATTTACCGTTAGGGGGGTATAATGTTAGTTCTATTCTATCTATCTAAGGAACTAAACTAGGTTCTAGGGCGACCGGGGTTTTATATATTAGGCGGGAGGTCTACGCGCGGCACGTGCCTTTATACGTACGCGGTTACGCGACCTCCGCTAGTATACGGTTACTAATATCGCTATTCTAATACTAGTAACTCTTCTTTTATAACCGTACGCCTCCGGTCTTCCTTCTTATCGTAGATAACGCCTTCTTATCTCTCTTATATAACTCGGAGATAAGTCCCTCTCGAAATGACCTATTTCCGTAGTTTACTTAATATAATCGTACTCTCGGTATACTTCTTTATCGGATTATTATTTACCTTAATTATACGCTACCTTAACCGTACGCTACCTTATTTACTTATCTATGTACGTACGTAATAGAGAAGTGAGCCGTGCCGGCTTACCTTATCTAATAGCCGGTGCTGTATAAGATGAGTGGCCCGCTCCGTACTCGCGTACCGGGTCGTCCGATAATATATTTACCTTTATATAACGACGAGATTGAGTTCGAGATCCGTACGGAAGGGGTAGTAGGTCCGGGCCTTACCCTCTCGAGGCTGGCCGCCCGGATATAAAGTAGCTCTTCTTTCCTAGCTCTTTTCCTTCTTCCCTTCTTCCTTATACCTTACTCTCTCTCTTATACCTACGCGCGTACTCTCCCTCTCCTTCTCTTAGAAGTTCGCGTATACCTAGCCTAGTATAATATAATATCTTTTATTAAGGGTACGGCCACGACCGCCCTATTCGGTAGCGTTCCTTATCGTATAATAGGAGACGGATCTATCTAGATTTTAATTCCTACTACCTCGGAGGGTAATCGGCGTCTCCTTAGCTTTCTTACTATTAATATACGATACCCTCGGGACTCTTTCTTTTATTATATAATAAGTTAACTCGTACTTAGGACGACGAACGTCGTATTACCGCGATACCCTCGGTCGATACCGAGGTACGTATAAACGCTAAAGACTTCGCTAACCTTAATACCTTCTTTATTAAGATTATTCGTTACGAGTCGTACTTCCGTACGCTCCTTATTTATTCGTACGGTACGCGCGTTCGTTACTTTATAAACCGGTATAGTAATCCGGAGTCTATTCCTCACTTTCGCTATTATTTTCGCCTACCCGACTATTAGAATAACGCCTATTCGTCGTATATCTAGTAATTATATAGTACGGTCTATTCGTACTCCCGTACGGGCTCGGTTTTAAGCGCCGAATCGGCGCTTAACGATAGTAATAGCGGCGGTGGAAGTCCAGGCGGTAGTTCGTTTAGGGGCTAGCCTAATCGCCCGTAATAGGGGCGTCTACTATTATCTAGTTTAGGCTCGCGCCTAAACCCGATTACTTTTAATAAGAATACCCTCCTCCTTTAGCCTTATTTTACGCCTTAGCTCTTCGTACGCTCGAGGAGGTTTCTTAGTACGGCTAGGGTTATTCTTAATATAATATCTTTTTCTCTATTATATAAGTCGTATATTAAGTTTAAAATAAATTCCGGGGTTCTTTAGTAAATCTATATTAATATTATAACCGTCGTAATATATTAATATATAATATACTCTCCACCCTCTACTCGTCCTCTTCCTTCTTCTCTAATTTATCTACGAATACCTCGATTTATACAATAATCTTATTATCCTCTATTAGGTATATAAGGGCTTAATTAGGATCCTTCTTAATAAGTATATCGGTTAGGTTATCTCGTCTATTAATCTATCTAATTTCCGAAATCTCCCGCCTTTTATACGCTTCCTATAAGTATATAATATCGATTATTAACCTCTTCTTACTCGTAATTCCAAGTTTTACTAAATAGTTATATAGAGATCGAGAATCCGTATAAATAATTATTAGGATCTATACGATCCCTAATATAGTCGTAATCCTAACGAGTATTATACTAATAACGATACCGTTATCGAAGCCGCTTATTATATTATAGAGTTCGCTTATTAGTACGCTCCTTATAATCCTCTTATACTTAGTAAAGGACTAGTAAATAATATTATTAATTATTATATATAACTTCTCTATACGGTCGTCCTTTATCCCTAATACGATTAAGTATCTAAACTATAATAATATATCCTTATTATTTACGAACGAGTTATTAGTATAGATAAATAACTTCGTACGGTCGAAGTCTAGCGATTAGTATTAAAGTCCTCGCTCTAGGTAATCTATTTACTATTAGATTCGCTTATTTAGAATTATAAAGTCTAACTTCTTAAGTTCCTTTACCTAAGCCGCGATTAAGAGATCGTATAATACTTTAAATTAGTAAATACTAGTAATATACGCTCCGTACACTCGTTAGGAGATATATTATTAGGGTATATCTTTATTCTCCGGGTTAATTAAGTTTAGTTATTTAACTTATCCCTTCTACTTAATAGTAATCTCGTATCCTTAAAGTTAGATCCGGTATCCGTTAAACTCGATCTAGGTATTATACGTAAGGTACGACTTCGGCTTAGCCTTTAGCCCTACTTTTTTAAGCTTAGCTTCCTCCTTCCTAGAGAATTCGGGAATAGCTAACGTAAGTATATTATCTATCTATATCCTAA